GGGGACTGAGCACGGGGGCCATGCTGCAGTGCTGACCCTCCACTTCCCTCTGGGTGTGGCGCACACACAGCCTGGCACAGCTTTTCCCCCTTTACTGACCTAGAGGACCACGTTCTTGCTGGGGAGAGACGGGGCGGGGGGTGAGAAAGCACCCACTCCCTATGAGGAATGGTCGCCACATCCCATCTTCTCTGTTTCTCCCACCTTTTGAGATTTGGTATGTGCACACACACGCACACACACACACACACACACACACACACACTCTCCAGACGTGTTTCTCAAGCACCGGGTCCAGGACTCAGCCACAGTTGCCTGTGTGCGGTCCAGCTGCTGTGACCACCAGGCCCCTGGCCGGCCCCTTCACCTACGTATGAAGTTAGAAACAAGAACTCTTTGGAGTTTCTGCTGTGGGGTGTGTACACTGACAGAGGGAGAAAACCACCCCCCCAAGGGGAGTGGCCACACAATTCATTCTCCATTCTCCCCTCAGGGTTTCGGGCATGCACATGTGCCTGGCGTGATTTTCAGGCCACTGGGTCCAGGACTTCAACTATGTATCTGGCCATGTGGGATCTAGCACCTTGACCTCCATGCCACTGGCTGGCCACAAGAGCTTTGCCTTTTTATTTATTTATTTATTTATTAGAATTATTTTTGTATTATTTTACCTTATTTGTTATTATTTTTTATTTGGACCAGAGAGAGAAAAAGGGAAAGTGAAAAATCAAGTTGCCAGATCTGGGACTCAAACCGCAGTCAGCCATGTGGGAATTCAGTGCCCCAACCACCATGCCATCTGCTGGCCCCTCACAAGAGCTTTTTTGGAAAAGCACATAGACGAGACATGCCTTCACATGTACCGAGACAGCTGGGATTGAGTAGGCCCCAGGCTCAGCACAACCCAGGTGACGTTCCCAGAGACAGACCTGATGACTGAGTCGCCGAGAACTCTCACTCGGGCTGGCGGCGTGGAGTACTGTGCACATTCTGGGGACAGTGTCCAGAGTCTGGGCCAGGGCGTCTACTGGGAGCCTTTCAAGGAATGGACGATGTTTTGACCTGAGAAGCAATAGCTTACTTTAAAATCTTACTATTTTAAACACCCGGAGGTGTTCTCATTACCCCATGGCCTAACAGGGTACCTTGAGACCTTATCCGTATCTATAGCATTAAATGTTCAACAGTGATTTGACTTACTCTCCATGCCTTTGGAAGCAAAACCGGAACTAGGCTGGAAGGTTTAGGAATCCGATCTCGGCTGATAGAAGAAAGGGCTGTCTAGCAATGAGCCTGACAGCTGAGTAAGCTGCTCTGGGGAGTCGAGGTCACGGACCTGGACCGAGGTAGAGAGGGTCACTCAGGACATTGCAGGGTATTTCTAGTATCAGGTGAGTGTTAGGTTCACTTTGGGGAGGGCAGAGGGAGGCCTGCTTCGTATTTCCATGGTGACCGGCTCTAGGGCTGGCCTCGGTGGTGCTTGCATGTCCCAGTGGAGAGGGCCGTGTGCAGGGCTCTCTGGCCAGGTCCTCGCCTGCTGGCAGGCACCGTGTTGAGTGGTTATGTGCTTCGTGGAAATTCAAGCAAAAAACGATGGGAAAGCGGCCTTGCCGTAATTCTTACTGCAGTAGGAGGAAGGTTGTGCCTCCCTGGGTTAGATTCTGTGTAGACTGGGAAAGGTTCATAATCAGTTTCCTTTTATCATCTCACTCTATATTTAAGCTGAGCCCAAGTTTGGACGAACTAGGAGATGCAGGAAGAGCCCGTATCACATGTCTTAGTGATGAGTCTGTCTCTGAGCATAAATGCGAACATGCCTGAAAAGCATGCTCTCACAGTGAAGAGTGCCTTCTAGTAAGCATGCTAGCTTTGATTTATTTTAATCGCTGTCTTTTCTTCCTTTGGCCGTAAACCCCCAGGTACACTAAATCACATGGACTGCTCGTTGAACAAGCGTTACCAAAAGCTAAACTTAAAGAAATTGTGGCGGAGTCTGATGTTATGCTCAAGTAAGTTTTTTGGTGTTCTGTGTTGTTTCTGTCTGAGGGCTTGAACTCATATTATGTGTGTATTTAATTGTGTATTTTTAATTTTTTTTAACTTTTAATTTTTTTTGGAGGGATTTTTGCTATAAGGTGCATGTGCTTGCCAGAGAGAGCACACAAGACAGAAAGCGAGAAGTCACCCCCAGAGGGGATGGCCGTGCCGCAGTCCCCTCTTTGCCATTCTCCTCCTTGGATCTTGGACATGCACGCACACTCGCTCGGTGTGAGCTTAAGCCACCGGGTCCAGGACTTAAACCACGGTCAACTATGTGGGAGTCCAGAGACGTTACCATTATGCCATCTGCTGGTCCCATGTCTATTTTTATTAAAATAAGCTGCAATGAGCGGTGCGTATATAAACTTACCTTATCACTACCATAGAAAGGTAATAAGAACCTTAGGAGATTTTAGTACAGATCTGTATTTCTTTCCTCCAGATTAAAAATTTCAAGATTAGGGGACCAGCAGATGGTATAATGGTTATGTCCCTGGACTCCTGTGTAGTTACTCCTGTGTAGTTGACTGTGGTTCAAGTCCCAGACTGGGCAGCTTAAAACTCACGCTGGGCGTGTGTGTGTGTAAACAAAATCCTGAGAGGAGGATGGAGGGAAAGGGATGGTGGTGTGGCCATCCCTCTGGGGGGTGATTTCTCACTTTCTGTCTCTGTCTCTCTCTCTCCCTCTCTCTCTCTGGTGATACAAGTATCCTATAGCAAAAAAAAAAAGTCTCAAAAAAAGAAATTCAAGATCAGATTTACAAATTTATGAAACCAAGACCATTTTGAAATTTTTTTAGCAAAATACTTTTGAAAGACCTGAAGTATGAAAGGGTTGTTATGAACCAAGCTGAAAAGGACTTAGTAAATTCCAAGTTTTAGTTTCTCCAAGAGTGAGCTCACTGCTGTGACTCTCCCTCCCAGAGAGTTGGGACCCACTGGCCCCAAATAAAGGGGCTTTTATACAAAGATCTTGGCCAGGGGCAGGCCAGACATAAGAGCACAGCTCTGTCCCGGCCCCGCCGTCCTGGCCCAGGGAGCAGCCACACAGACAGGCTCTTGTGGTGCGGTTGGATTGTCTGCCCGTCAGCGGTGTGGAGGGTGAGCCGCGTGCTTTTACCCGTGTTCAGTGGAGTTTGAAACATGCTGTTGTGCTAGTAAAGCTGAACAGAAGGAGGGGGTGAACAACTAACTGCTCCTTGGGAAACCCATACTGGTAGGATTACAGATTCTGGTATTTTGAAGTGAGAAGGTAAGTGAGCTATAGATTTAGGTGTAACAATCAATCTTTTTAACCTGTACGTGAAAGGAGCTTGTCCCCCTCCTGCAGGGAAGGGTACGAGAACTTCTTCGACAAGCTCCAGCAGCACAGCATCCCTGTGTTCATATTCTCGGCTGGCATCGGGGACGTTCTAGAGGAGGTCATCCGTCAGGCTGGCGTTTACCACCCGAATGTCAAAGTCGTGTCCAACTTCATGGACTTCGATGAAAATGTAAGAATATCAAATCATTTCTCACACTTACTTTTCAAAACCTGAAGTCATGTAAATTAAAAAAAAAATTTTTTGGAGAAGTTTTTGCTTTAGGGCACGTGTGTTTGCCAGAAAGACAGAGACAGAGAGACAGAAAGTGAGAAATCACCCCATCCCCTGGGGGGATGGCCACGCCGCAATCCCTTCTCCTCCATTCTCCTCTTGGGATCTTGGGCATGCACACATACGTGCCTGGCATGAGTTTAAGCCACCGGGTCCGTCCAGGACTTGAACCATGGTTGACTACATAGGAGTCCAGTGACATAGCCATTATGCCAACTGCTGGTCCCAATGTAAATTTATTATCACTTACTACATCTTTATTAAATTCAGCTATGTTGATAGGCCTGTAGGACACATCTTTCTCCATGTTATGTCCATATTTAAAAAAATAATACATCCTTCTTCAATGTCTGTTCCCCAAGCTATAGACTAATATTTAAAATTAGTAAAACTTCTTTTAAAATAATGCAGGATTGGGACCAGCAGTTAGCGTAATGGCTATGCCGCTGGACTCCCATGTAGTCGAGTGCAGTTCAAGTCCTGGACCCGGTGGCTTAAAACTCACGCTGGGCGCATGTGCGTGCGTGCCCAAGATCCCAAGAGGAGAATGGAGGAGAAGGGATTGCGGCGTGGCCATCCCCCCTGGGGGGTGATTTCTCGCTTTCTGTCTCTCTGTCTCTCTCTGTCTGGCGAGTGCACATGCCCTATAGCAAAAACCTCTTCAAAAAAAAAAATAATAATAATGCAGGATCTCTTATTCATTCATGGGGAAAAAAGTGAATTAGAACTGACAGTATTTTAATGGGTTTTTCTAACAGCGATGGTATATTATAAGATACATAAATGGGATACTTTGGTTAGGAACAAAACGGATGAAAACTGAATTTTCAGTTCGTTCTGTTTCACCATTTAAAATGGTCTCTAGAAAGTCACTGTCTCTCAGAGCCTTTCTTACCTCTCCTGACTCATAGACTAAATGCTTTGCGGTCTCCAGGGTTGAAGGTTAATTTACAAATATGATGAGATAGTAGTGACTTTATTGAGATTCCAAAAATGAAATCCAACAAACAATATATTTTAAAATCCTATTATTTAAAAAGATTTCTGTTTTTAATAGGGGGTACTCAAAGGATTTAAAGGAGAACTGATTCATGTATTTAACAAGCATGATGGTGCCTTGAAGAATACAGAATATTTTAATCAACTAAAAGACAACAGCAACATAATTCTGTTGGGAGACTCCCAAGGAGACTTAAGAATGGCAGATGGAGTAGCCAATGTTGAACACATTCTGAAAATTGGATATCTAAATGATAGAGTAAGTAACTATTGGTCTATATCCTTTTTAATTGCTATAAAACTTTGTAAGTAATTGCTGTCAAAGAGACTTGAGAAAGTTATTCAGATTGCCCTTCACCGCCTCGCTTCGGTGATGGCCAGAGAAACCGTGATGCATGCGTGCAGCTGTGGGCTCTAGGGACGAGTGGGTGTGTGTTCTCACCGGGCATGCTGGGCAGCAGTCTACAGTCATGAGAATCAGATACCTCTGACATTGCCAAGGGTTCCTTGGATAAAGTCATCCTTGGATAAACCCATCCAGTAGCTGAGAACTACTGGCCCAGAGAGAAATCCTCCTGGGAGGAAAACCACCCTGTGAAAAATTTTCCGTCAGTGAGTCTTAAAAGTTGAAGGAATTAGGCTGCCCAGGGCCTGATGGCTAACGGAGCTGGGTCCCACATGACTAAGCATGGTTTAAATCATGGCAGCTTGAAAATCACAGTGGGCACATGCATATGCATGCCCCGACTTCCAGGAGGATGGAGAAATGTGGAGAAGGGTTGTGGTGTGACCGTGCCCCATTGGAGGCGCCTTCTCCCTGTCTCGGTCTCTGTCTGGCAAGGATAGGCACCTCTGGCAAGGAAAAAAAAAAGTTTGAAAGTATTTCTTCATTTCAAAGATTTTTTTTAAAACTTGTATATTTTAAATTTTTATTTATTATTATTTTTAATTTGACCAGAGTGAGAGAGAAAATGAAAGAGAGAGAGAAGGGAAGTGAGAAAGCAAGCCGCCAGGTCTGGGACTTGAACTGCGGTCAGCCATGTGGGAGTCCAGTGCCCTAACCATTGCGCCACCTGCCGGCCCCCATTTCAAAGATTTTTATGAAAGCGAATTTTAATTTACTACATTTTGCCCAAGAGCACTAACATAAAAATCCAAGTGTGTACTGAAATTGTTCATCTCTTCTCCTTGGTGCCAATCTTGACTTTGTTCTTCTGCTGACCAGGTGGACGAGCTTTTAGAAAAGTACATGGACACTTATGATATTGTTTTAGTGAAAGATGAATCGCTGGATGTGGCCAACTCTATTTTACAGAAGGTTCTGTGAACAAGCATTCTTCAGGAGGACTGCTTTCTGCCCGGTACAGTTGATGCAGGAACTGCTCATCCGGTCACCTTGTTGAAAGACCGATTTATAATACATTGTTGCTCTTGAAGTTTTCTCCTTGCATAACAAGTATTTTCAGACATGTTGAGTCCATTGACTGGAAGCTATTTTTTCTTCTCTCAGCACACTCCTCACCATATTTTTTAACAGATAAAAAAAATCTTAAAGCCAAAATTGGAAAAAATAACTCCCTGCTTTTCCAAATTGAATTTTGCAGTAGAATTATTATCATGCAGTTTTGAGGAGTCTTTTTACACTGGGCACGTTGTAGACGTTTCAAAAGAAGTTTTATGAGATGAAGTAACGTGCGTGGTTCTAAGTATTGCCGTTTTGTAATCTGGGTGAATTATGCTGAAGGTGCCGCCTCCTGAAACCGTTCTGTGTGGCTGCTGGGCCTGAGGGAGCCCACTATTCACCAGCAGAGGCTGGCCCTGGTGTCTGAAGAGCTGTCGGTGTCCACATACCGCTGATCGCTACAGAACGTCCATTCTGAAGCACTGAATAAACCTGGGATGAAAAGCCTTTTTAATTCTGCTGTCAAGTGTCTGCTCCTTCGGCCACCGTCAACGGGTCCGTGGCATCCCTCCCTTCCCCCCTTCCTCTCTCCTTGTGCAGTGTGTAAGCCCGCATGTCCTGGTCTACGTGGCTATTTCGATGGAATTTTTCAAAATGTTTATATTGTAAATGTACGGATAAAAAGATACTTAGAGGGACATGTTTAAGCTGCCCTTCAGAAAATACTAAGACTTGATAAAATTACTTCCTCCTTCCAGAGCATGAGTAACAGAGGGTACTATGTTGCTAGTCTAAGAGTTTCAGCAACAGCCACACGCA